TCTAAGGCCAGGGCTCAGTTTATGACCAGAATAACCAGAATTTGCATGACCTAGGTCAAAATTCATTCTTAGATCAGGGTTCAGTCAATGATTAAGCTTGAGGTTCAGTTTGTAACCTAAATCAGTGTTTCATCTTCATCAAAGTCAGGGATTAGTCTCAAAGAAGGTTAACCCAGACTGGGGTTAAAGACTATCTGTGATTGGGCCTCAGTCTTTAGGTGATGATTGTGCCTGAGCCTGGGTCCAGAGTCAGGTCTCAAGTTATGATCAGCCTTTTGTCAGGCTTAGATCCAGCTTCAGTATATGACTAGGGTCAGGGAACAATTTCAAGGCAATGGTCAAACCTCAGTTGAGAGCTGAAGTCTAGGCATGGGATCAAGCCTCAGTCAATACCCAGATTAGGGCTCAAACTGGATGTGAGATCAGGGCCATGACAAGGTCTTATTCAGACTATTCTGACCTCCAATAAAGACATTTTTGGAAGACCCAAGAACCCAGGGCAGCTCAGTCTACAAGAAACCAGAGCCCCCTCCCTTGTTCCTGAGGCAAGCTTATCAGGGTCTGGTACCTGCAGTAGCTTTCCCTTGCCTGCTGAGACCTGGTGTCCTAGAGTCTTCTAACCTACATGGTTCTACTGCTTGAGGTCCCCTCGCACCAGAATAAAAATAGCCACTCACTTCAGAGCAGCTGACAGCGGGTGCCAGGCTGCCTGGGAGGAGGGGGAGCAGAGGAAAGGGAGGAGTGATGTCTGAGCTCAGCCCCAGCTGTGTGACCTTGGGAAAGTCACTCCTCCTCCTCCTGCCCATTTCCTGAGTGGCAGCATGGGGTGTGAAGACAACACCTGCCCCAGAAGGTGGGAATGGCAGCCAGCCATAAGATGTGACACTTATCAATGAGGCCCCTGGAAGAACCAACACTCCTTTGTGCCCTATTTGCTTCATTTTCCCCAATGCTCACCTCTGCCACTTTGCTATGATACCCTGGCACAACCTCTACACCTTTTCAGACATGTCCCACATAATGCCACAGTGTGACCTCCTTCCCGGTGGGTCTGGTCATAGAGGGGGTGAGGAAGAGGAGGAGGAGGAGAAGGAAAAAGGGAAGTCCCCTCTCCTTTTCCTCACTCATGATCTGTTTTGTCTGGGCCACAAAGCCAGGAGGGTACAGGTCTGAATTTTGTGTCCTCTCACAGCTAGATCTTCCATAAGCCAGCCTTCGCCATGCTGCCCTCACTGGCCCCCAGATGTTTCTTGTCTTCCATTTGGCACCATGGACACTGTGGACTCCTCTTTCAAGCAAAAATTCAATGGTCATGTGACCTATTTTGTAGGGGGAAGAATTGACCTGCCTCCTTCCTCCCTAGGAGCACTATCCATCGCTGTCATCCTACTAAGCCTCAGCTTCTTCCTCTGTCAGTGGGGACACTTATGATCAACCTCACAGGGTGACAGGGACCGTGACTAGGCTAATCTGTCACCCACTAGAATCTTCCCTTCCTACTCCTGACCTGAAGGGGAGTGTGAGAGTTTGTAGGGAGGGGCTGGTTGAGCTGTAACCTCTGCCTGGCACACCCCACAGAGTGAAACAAGGCAGGGAGCTGGGAGGGGCCTCTGGAGACAGCCGTTTCCAGGGGGGCGGTTCTCCCTGGCAGCTGCCCCCGGCCTGCCGCCCTGAGCCTCAGAGCCTGTTATCAACCTCCTTAGTCATCATCCCAGAAGGCTCAAATATAGCTCTTACCAGCTCCCGTCTCAGCAGGGGTCCGCCCCTCACCACCCCCTTCCCTGTCCTTTCCCTTCCAGGAATACAACCACTCCAGGCCTCAGTTTGAGCAACCACTAAATGGGTGGGCTCAAATAGATGGTGATGATGATGGTGATGGTGATAGTGATGGTGATGGTGATCACAAAGTAGCTGCCTAAATAGTAACTAAGAGCTTGCTTGTGCCAAACTCTAAGCTAAATTCTTCATATGTATATACTTTTTTATCTTCACAGCAAACTTATGAAGTATCTGCTGTTTTTATTTCCCTTACACATATCAAGAATCTCAGTGACCTCCCCAAGTAAGTCAGTGACAGACAGAAACAAAGACCCCCAGCAGCAGATCTGAACTCAGGGAGCAGGAGATGCTGGGAAATCATCCTGGATAAAGGAGCCCTCCCCACATTCATTTGCCTGGATTCTGAAGGGCCTTGCTGTCCCTTTCTCAGTTCTAGGATTTGTCCCAGGGCCCTGATTCCACCCCCAATGAAGTCCTCCAAGATTGCATCAGGAGTTTATACTCTGGGGAATCTCAGTTTACTCATCTGCAAAAGGGAAGCTGGAGGACTAGACAAGGGGAGCTCCAGTTTTCCTTCCCTCTGGGTGACTATGCTCATTGCTTACATTCTCCCTCACTGACACCCCCACTTCACCTCCAGCTCCATCACATCAACACCAGACACTCGCCATCTCTCCTGCCCCATTTCTCCTCCACCTCACACCATTGCCACTGTCCCTTCATGCCGCTGCATCACCATCACCTGTGCCTTTCTCACCTCCACCCCACCACCAGCACCTCCATTCCTACACCATCATTATCCAAACCACAAGGCCTCCACCTTTGCACCCATCTCCTCTACTCCATTACTACTATTGTTGTCAGTCTCCTTCTTCCACCGTCACATGCATCATCACAAACACCTCAACAGTCACCTCTTTCATTGCCACTGTCTCTGTCTGCATCGCCTTCTGAAGACCTTTCCATCCTATCACCTTAACATGGCCTGAGTCTTTGCCTATACACATTCCCACCTTACTTACAAAGACACTGACCTAGAAACAGCCCTGATCCTTTCTCATCGGGGGTGAGAAGCCCAGAGAGGAAAAAGCTTGTAGTATAAGTCCTGCTCCAGGTTCAGCAAGAGGCCCTGTCTCAACAGAATAAGGCAGAGAATAACAGAGCAGGATACCCAAGGCCCTCCTCTGGCCTCCACATTTGTGCACATGGGCACACATGCTCGTATACACAAGTGTATACACCACACACACACACAATCACATGCATACCAATTAACCAATCAGTCAATGCATAAATAAAATAAACAAATAAATGCTAAACATTTTCTGCCTGAGCTGGGTGCAATCCATCTTCAGTGCAACTCAACAATTCTGGAAGAATTGGGATTCCAGGCACAGCTCAGCAAATAGAAGTGGGAGTGGAGAAAAAAAAATGGCAGCCCACACTTATCTCTGGCCAAATCTGACCCTATTAATGATCCTCCCTTCTTTTTGCTTTTTTCACTGAGGTGGGGGCGTCTCACAAAGCCCATGCTGGCCTCAAACTCACTGTGCAACCAAAGATGATGCTGAACTCTTCCTTGGGGTATTTTGTTGTTGTTGTTATTTTGTCTCCCCCCCCCCCACAGAACTGAGGACTGAACCCAGGGCCTTGTGCTTGCTAGACCAGCACTTCACCACTGAACAAAATCCCCAACCCCAACACTGAACTCTTCATCCTCTTGTCTCCATCTTCCAAGTGCTGTGCTTCTTGGAAGACTCAACTCTTCTCATTCATTCATTCATTCACTCATTCATTCATCAGACACACCCCTAGGCCTGTTGAACACCAGGTCCTGTTCTAGGTCCTAAGCACTGGGATTTGAAGGTCTGGTGGGTTTTGTTTCGTTGTTGTTTTTGTTTTTTGATTTGGTTTGGTTTCTGGGTGCTTCCAAGGGATGATGGAATACCCTGAAATTATTTTGAATGTGGTGGCATTTTGTTTTATTTGTTGGGTTTTTTTTGAAAAAAAATTATGTGTATGAATATATTGCCTGCATGTACATAAATACGTCCATGTCGTGCAATGCCCACGGAGGTCAGAAGAGGGTATCAGATCCCCTTGAACTGGAGTTTGAATGGTTGTTAGCCACAATGTAGGTGCTGGGATTCAAACCTGGGTTCTCTGCAAGAGCAGCCAGTACTTTTAACTGCTGAGCCATCTCTCCAGCCCTGATTTGGTTGTTTTTGCTTTTGGGGTTTTGTTTTTGTTTTTGTTTTTTTTATCACAGGTTTCATGCAGCCCAGGCCAGTAATGAACTCACTATAGTGCTCAAGCTAGCTTCAAACTCCCAGCAATCCTCCTGTCTCAGCCTCCCTAGTGTTGAGATCACAATGTGTGCCACTATTCCAGGTTTTGCAGACCTGTTAGTTTTCTTGCTAACAGGTTCCTCTCTTACTACTGAGCCCTTTCAGTCCCTTCCACCCCACCCCCCACCCCACATCACTCATTGACTGGTTGGGTCACTGAGTTTCCTCACTGAAACTCAGAAGCCCTTACTTCATGGGGTGACCTTGAACAAGTGCTCTCCATAGTCACAGTCAGGGAGTGCTAGAGAGAGGAAAGCTGAGACTGGGACTGGAAAGGCCTGGGGGTGATGGGGGACATCTGAGGGCAATGAGATATCTGCAGAAGAGGAGGGGCTGATGCTGAGGTTAAGATGGGGGAAGGCTCCAGTGCATGGAGTCTGTTTAGTTTTGAATGGGAAGAACAGAGCTAGGCAGGGATGGAGTGGGGGTTGGGGTGGGGTGGCCCAAGACTTAGAAATGGGACAAGGGTGGGGGCCAAAACAAGCCCTGAGCTGACCAAGAAGTCAGGAAGGTGATAGGCTAAGGGCAGGGACTTTAGAGCAGCGTCCGTCCTCTAAACCACCTGTCCTATTACTAGCAGGTGTGTCTGAGCCCCTCCCTGGAGCAAGAGCAGGCTGGCCCACTAGCTAGAGGATGAGGCAGACAGGGGGTCTCTTCCAGGCATCCAGGAGAGACCAGGATCAGGCTAACAGGTACTCCCAATTGCCCATGACTGTTCCAAGTTCAGCTGCCAGCTTGAAGGGTTCATGGGGGTGTAGCCACTTTGCCCTGGCCACCTCTACTCTGGGAAGTGGGTGCCTGTGCCTTTAAATTCTCAGCAGGTTGAAACGGCTGATGACATCACTGGTTCCCGGGAGCTGAGGAGCTGGAGCCAGAACCCAAGGGAGCCCAGGCTGCTGGGGGCTGCAGACATGGAGGGCCAGAGCAGCAGTGGCAGGGGGAGGTCAGGGACCAGAACTGGCCATGGACCTTTGCCTGTGCCCCATGGGGTTCTGCAAGCTGGGGCACCCTCCAAGGTAAGATCCCCTAAACCCTAGCCCCCATTCCCAATCCCTGGTCTCACACTCCCACACACAGTGTGCAGGCACCCTGGTGCCACTTGGCTAAAGAACTGGCACTTTTCTGTGCCCACCAAGCATGGGCTGGCAAAAAAGGTCACCCTGGAGAGGTAGTGATGGGATGCCCAGAAAGAAATGAAATCAGCCATCACCAGACACCCCCCCACCCCCCCAAAAGAGCCCTGCATGGTTGTCAGGGGACCCAGCTGTTCTCCAGCTTTGCTGTGTGACCTTGGGCAAGTTGCTTGTCTTCTCTGAGCCAATGCAAAATGAGGGGGCTTGTGTCTGTGGACTAGAACTGTGACATCTGGGGTGTCTAAGTTGTTAGTGCTGGAGGCGGTGTGGTGGTTGGGGGGAGGGGCACACAGTGGGACACCTGGAGCCAAGGAGAGTGCCCAAAATGCAGCCTCAAAGAGCTGAGTTTGGGGAGGAGGTAGAGGTATAGTTTCAGATTCTCTGAACCAAGAAGGGCAAGGGACCAAGATAGACTCTAGAGGCAGGGACGGGGCCACCCTGAGGCCAATGTAGACCTTCTGTTCTCTGTGGTAAAGGACAATTTCTCCTGGCTTCTGCAGACAGGGGACAGAGGATGGACAGGGCAGGGAGTTGTTCCTTCACCTGCCCAGTGCAAAGGGCACCTGCTTGCCTGTCCTCACAGGTAGGGAGAGGGCAGAAGGGATAAGAGGGCACAGCCTGGGCACAGAGAGGCGTGGCACCAGACCACACTGACTGGTGGGACACACTAGCCAAGGGTGGGCTCACTCTCCAGTGCTCTGTGGACGTGTTGGATCATGGAAATATGAGGCACCAGATGCCTTAGAGTGTGGTGTGGTCAGGGACCCTTCGCACTGAGGGGAAATGAAGGCCATGGGCTGAAGGGTGCTTGCCTGAAGTCACACAAAGCTGGCCTGTGATTCTCTATGACAGTCTCAGTTCCCAACACTGGACCCTGATCCATGGGATGGATCAGCACAAGCAGGACTGTGACCAAGCAGTCATGGATGGTGGCTAATGGTATAAGGCGGGATCTGAAGGCTACTGGGCACTGCAGAGGAAGGGAAAGGCATTCAGCAGGCTGGACCCCATGTCCCCATCCCCATGTGGGTAGACTTGGGATGTCTAGTCAATAGCCCCCAGTAAGGGAAGATGCAGAGGCTATAGTGAGGGCTGCCTTGGAAGGTGGTCAAGATAGAGAGGGAGTAGGTACCAGCCCGGAAGACTACGGGAGCCCTGTCAGATTCAGGTTCAATGCTCTGCCTTATTTCATTCAGGGACTCTGTTTCTCCATCTGTGAAAAAGGTTTTCAGCTTAAAGAAGGAAACAGGGCTTTGAATCCTACCTCCTCTGAGAGAGACTGACATGCAGTAGAATAGGCAGGGTTGAGATTGTATGAAAAACTTCCTTGGGATGACATGACATTCTTAGCTATATGGGTCTACTGGGGTCTATTTGGAAGATGAGACTCAAACCCTTGGTTAGGAATCATTCTGAGTCATTGATTTGTCCTCTACAAGGTGAACTCAAGTTTCCATCTCTCAGCAAAGAATGTAGCTCCAGTACCCTCGGAACCAAAGTTGCCTCTGGCACCCATGGGGCCACGAGCAGCTATGTCACCTCCCTCAGAAGATCCACGGCTGACTTTGGCTTCTCCCCGACCCATCCTGGCTGCACTGTCCACACCTGGAGAACAGAGAAGAGCTCCAGCCCACTGCAGCCACAACCTGGCTTCAACATCTGTGGGCCAGCTGGTGGTGTCTACATCTGCTGGACCGAAGCCTCCGCCAGCCACCTCAGGCTCAGTCCTGGCTCCAAAATCATTGGGGCAGCTAGTAATGTCTGCCTCTGCTATGCCAGGGCCTCCCCCAGTTACCCTGGGGCCCAGCCTGTCTCCAACTTCCAGGGACCAGAAGCAGTTGTCACCCACTTCTATGGGACCCAAGCCAGCATTGGCAGCCTCAGGCCTAAGCCTGGCCCTGGCATCTCAGGAGCAGTCCCCACAGTCCCCTTCCAGTCCTTCCCCAGTTCCCAGTCCAGTTCTGTCACCTTCTCAGGAGCAGACCCTGGCTCTGGCATCTGTGGCATCCTCCCCAGCTTCTGAGAGATGGACATCAGCTAGACCGAGGGATGCCACAGTCCCCAGGCCCATCCCCCCTGCAGAGGGGCATCTCCAGCCTCCAATTCAGGCAGCTGGTCCCATTATCTCCCCATCACGAGCCCAGACTTCCTCAGACCCTCGATTATCCCCCTCCTTCCGAGCCAGGCCAGAGGCTTCACGCCACAGCCCTGAAGATCCTGTCCTACCACGACCACCCCAGACCCTGCCCTTGGATGTGGGCCCAGGCCTTCCAGAGCCTGGTACCCGCTCCCCTGGACTTCTGTCTCCTACCTTCCGACCAGGAACTTCCTCAAGCCAGAGTGTGCCCCCACCTCTGCCAAAGCCACCTCGGTCTCCCAGCCGGTCTCCTAGTCGCTCCCCCAACCGCTGCCCCTGTGTTCCCCCAACCCCTGAAATGGCACTCCCCAGACCTGGCATCCAGAGTGCAGGGGCTGGAACCCAGAGTTTGGGGTCGTGTGCTCAGGGTGCAGGGCCTGGCAGGTGCCTGAGCCCTAATCTGCAGACCCAAGAAGCCCCAGCCTCTATCACCACCTCTCCTACATCCACCTCACCATCTTCATCTTGGTCAGCTCAGCCTACCTGCAAGAGCGACCCCGGATTCCGGTGAGGGGTTCTCTCTCTTTCATGAAAGGTTACTGGGACTTAGAGCAGAGAGACTGGCTATTCTTCTGGGGTGATAGTATATTCTAACTCAGTTTACCTCCCTAAGGATTTATCCTTGCAAAGGCTACTGGGCCCACTCTAGGACCCTAGAAGATAACATCCTAAGAGACTTGCTCCTCCCTCAGTTTATCTCCCAAGGGAGAGTTCAGTAGTAGGGATACTAGACCCACTTCCAGTCCTTTCTAAGGGCTTATATCCTCACCTGCCTCCCTTCAACTCCCCAGAGAAAGCCCTTTGGAAGGGAAAAAGAAAGTGGGGAAGTGACACCTAGTATTAAACCCTCCTATGTGCCTTCTCCCAGAATCACTGTGGTTACCTGGAATGTGGGGACTGCCATGCCCCCCGACGATGTCACATCTCTTCTTCACCTGGGTGGTGGCCATGACAGTGACGGTGCGGACATGATTGCTATAGGGTGAGGAACTGTTTTGGGGGGGCACTTCCAAGCCCCTGGGTCTCCTAGACCCTCACCCATAGTAGGGATTTCCAAAACAGCTCCTCCAATCACACAGCTACCCCATTCCTCTCCACCTCAGGTTGCAAGAAGTGAATTCCATGATCAACAAGCGTCTCAAGGATGCTCTCTTCACAGACCAGTGGAGTGAACTCTTCATGGACGCACTGGGGCCCTTCAACTTTGTGCTGGTAATGCCCAGCTGGAGACCAGCAGGAACCCTTCTGGATTGCTGCTCCCATCTCTGTGGGGACTGATGGGAGTCTGTGGCCCGATCCATGAATTAGGGAGATGAAGGAGCTGAAGTTTGAGACAGGGGAAAGGCAAGGGCAGGGCCTGGGCACGAGGGTGGTGCATCTGGAGCCCCCAACTGCATGCCTCCCCCTCAGGTGAGCACTGTGAGGATGCAGGGCGTCATCCTGCTGCTGTTTGCCAAGTACTACCACCTGCCCTTCCTGCGGGATGTGCAGACTGACTGCACGCGCACTGGCCTGGGTGGCTACTGGGTGAGCGCGGGAGCCCTGGGAGGGTCTGGGCTCCTGAAGGTGGCCCTAGATTCGTTCCGCATTCCTATGCATCTGTAAGGTCCCCTCCCAGGCACCGCCCATCACCACACCCCGCTCCTTTATACCCCGCCCCTTTTCTCCCTCCTTGACTCTGCATTCTAGCTCTCTCCCTAGGACCCATCCGGGTTTAAGCCTTGTCCCCGCCTCATCTGCCCTTATGCCCCGCCCAATGACGCCCCTCCTGGTCCAGACTCCTCCCACGACCTGTCAACCCCCACCCCCTAGGGTAACAAGGGAGGAGTAAGCGTGCGCCTGGCAGCCTTCGGGCACATGCTGTGCTTCCTGAACTGCCACTTGCCTGCGCATATGGACAAGGCCGAGCAGCGCAAGGATAACTTCCAAACCATCCTTAGCCTACAGCAATTCCAGGGACCTGGTGCACACGGCATCCTGGATCACGAGTAAGAGCCCAGGCGGAACCATATAGACTCTGGGCAGGACTAGTAGGAGTGCAGAGGAGGTGGGTGTAGAGAGGAAGGTCTATTGGGGTGAGCGACCAACCACACTGAACTGTAGAAATCAGGAGGCAGGTAGCAATTTGATGGAGAGGGGCAGATCCTGCATGGAGCTTTGCTAAGGAGTTGTCTTGCTGAGGATCCCAAGATAATTTATTCCAGACCCTCCCTCCCCTCCCCTCCCACTTCCCTCTGCTCCTGCCTGGCTGAAGGCTCTGGTGCCATCCACCCACCCACCCCTTGGAATCTCTAAAGGCTCCAGTGCTGTCAGGTTGAATAGGGGGGTCAGGAAAGATCTGGATTGAGTCTTTGCACCTCATGGACCAATTGACCCCCATCCCTACCCTGGGACAGCCTTGTGTTCTGGTTTGGGGACCTGAACTTCCGCATTGAGAGCTACGACCTGCACTTTGTCAAGTTTGCCATAGACAGTGACCAGCTCCATCAGCTCTGGGAGAAGGACCAGGTGGGACTCCTACCCTTCCTTCAACCTGGAAGTGCTCAACCAGTACCTGTTGCTATGGCCCTTGCCCTCACCTGCCCCACCCCCTCTCTGGATGCTGAAAGGACCAAGCTGTTGTCCATTTCTGCCTTTCTGGACCCCCACAGCTCAACATGGCCAAGAACACTTGGCCCATCTTGAAAGGTTTCCAGGAAGGGCCCCTTAACTTTGCTCCCACCTTCAAGTTTGATGTGGGTACCAACAAATACGACACCAGGTGAGCCATGAGACTGGGCGGGGGTGTGGAAAAAGGAGTTTGTGGGAAAAAGGGCAAGAGACAAGACTAGGGGTTATGCTTTGACTCAGGCTCCCCACCCCCACTGCAGTGCTAAGAAGAGGAAGCCAGCCTGGACAGATCGTATTCTGTGGAAGGTGAAGGCTCCAGGTGGAGGTCCCAGCCCCTCAGGACGAGAGAGCCACAGGCTCCAGGTGACCCAGCGCAGCTACCGAAGCCACATGGAATACACTGTCAGTGACCACAAGCCCGTGGCTGCCCAATTTGTCTTGCAGGTGAGTCCTGGCCTCATCCTCCACTCATGACATCCTCTAGCTCAGCTGAGAATCCTCTGTCTGGCATCGATTTGCCCTAACAAGAAGGGAGTGGAGTTATAATCTCCATTTTTAGATGAGTCTGAGACTCAGATACAACCTCACTTACCCAGGGTCACACAGTTAGTAAAGGAAAGAGTTAGAATTTGAACACTAGACAGCCTAATTGTAAAACTCCTGTGTCTTTCCACTAATCTGTGACTGACTCCCTTTTTCTAAGAAATGTTTACGGCAACAAGTTAAAATTCACATGCATAAAGCTGGGTGTGATGGTACATGCCTATAATCCCAGGACTTGAGAAGTAAAAGCAGGAGGCTCAGGAGTTCAAGACCAGCCTCAATTATGTAGTGCTCTATGAGACCCTGTCTCAAATAAATAACAAAACAAAATCACATATAAAACTAGCAAAATTGGGGCTGGAGAGATGGCCCAGCAGTTAAGAACACTGGTTGTTCTTGCAGAAGACCTGGGTTCGAATCCCAGCACCCACATGGCAGCTAACAACTGTCTGTAATTCCAGTTCCAAGGGATCCAACAGTCTCTTCTGTCAGCCACGGACATTGCACGACACAGGTGCACATACCTACACACAGGCAATACACGCATAAACATAAGTTAAAAATAATAAAATTTTTTAAAAAGACTAGCAAAATCAAAATGTTTACTCAGAGCCCATGTGACACTCATTATTAATTTATTGATTATTTAACCACCTTATCATATGGCAGACACTATGAAAGTGGGGCAGTGATAATAGGCTAAAATACAAAGCTGGGCTGATTTAACTCAGTTGGTAGAGTTCTTGCCCAGCATACACAAGGCCCTGAGTTTGATTCTCAGAATCACACAAACTAGGTATCTTGGCATATCAAACTCAAAATAGTTTACTATAGTTTAGTGTCACAGGTTCAACATCTGCAGATTCAGTCAACTACAAATCAAAAATATTTGGAAAAAATGTTTCTGGGTGCTAGAGAGATATCTCAGTAGTTAAGAACACATACTGCTCTTGCAGAAGAACTGAGTTTGGTTCCCAGTACCCACATCAGGCAGCTCACAACCGCCTGTAACTCCAGATACAGGTAGATCTGACCCCTCTGGATTCTGCAGGCACCTGAACACATATACAAATATCTACACACACACACACACACACACACACACACACACACACACACAGAATTTTTTTTTGAAAAACAGTCAAAATAGCCAGCATGGTGGTGAATGCCTTTGATTCCAGCACTCAGGAGGCAGTAACAGGCAGATTTCTGTGAGTTCAAGGCCAACCTGGTCTACATAGTGAGTTCCAGGTCAGCTAGGGGTACATAGTAAGACCCTGTCTTAGAGATGGCTCAGTGGTTAAGAACACTAACTGCTCTTGCAGAGGACCCAGGTTCGATTCCCAGCACCCACATGGCAGCTACAAACCATCCTTAACTCCAACTCCAGGGGAATCCGAAGCCCTCTTCTGACCTCTGAGGCATTGCACAACACGGGGGCACTCACAGACATGCAGGCAATACACTCATACACATAAAATAAATAAAAATAATAATACAAAATAATTCTTAAAAAATTATCTCTGGGAGCTGGAGAGATGGCTCAGGGGTTAAGAACACTGACTGTTCTTGCAGAAGACCCAGATTCAAATCCCAGCACCCACATGGCAGCTAACAACTGTCCGTAACTCCAGTTCCAGGGGATCCAACGGCCTCTTCTGTCCTCTGCAGGCATTGCATGACACAGGTGCACTTACTTACATACAGGCAATACACCTATACACATAAAATAAAAATAATAAATAAAATATTTTTAAAAATTATCTCTGAACTGAACATGTATAGATTTCTTCCTTGCCATTTTCCTTAAACAATACAATAGTTAGGTATATGGCATTTACATTATATTAAGTATCATAAGTAATCTAGAGATGATTTTAAATATATACGGTGATATACAGATTATATGTATATACTATATACTATCTTATTTCAGGAATTTAAAATCCTTGGGTTTTTGGATCCACCAACGAACCAAGTGTACCCAGGCGCTCAGGGATGACTGTATTGTATTTAGGACTGAGGTTCCTGGTTGAGGCAGTGCTAGAATGTTAGAACCTATCCAAAAGATATAGTCTCTCTGTTTTACTTTGGGGTAATCTGAGATTCCTACTGACACAGCATGTGCCCTAAGTCATACAAAGGCTCAGTGGCAGAAGCAGGGCAGGGTAGATCCCATCTTTCCAACCCTGAAACCCAACCTGGGTTGACTGGATCTCTTGATCTGATAAGAAGGAGCTCTGCAGACCAAAGAATGTTTTTCACGGTAACTTTGTCACGTGTTCAGTCAGTGAGACTTAGGCCAGCACTTTAGCTCAGAATGAAAATCTGCCCATGCCTGGCCTCCTATGAACTTTGGGAAAGGGTTCAGAAAGCGTTTCTTATTGTTAGCCAGCTTCTTGCTATGTAGTCCAGGCTTCTTCAAACTTGGATTCTCCTGCCTCGGCTTCCCAAGTGCTAGGGCTGCACACATGCACCACCACATGCCAGCCTGGGTGGGAGTTTGAACCCTCAGTCAGGGACCTTGTATTGAGACTCACTGCTTTTGGCACACCACCCTGTCCTTCCCATCATGCACAAGACTGTCCTGCAAAAAAAAAAAAAATGAACCCTGGGGTTCAGTATGCAGTGTTTCCCTAGCATGTGCAAGACACTAGGTTCAGTCTCAGACTGCAAAGAGAACTAAAAGAAAACGATTGTTCTAGTTTGTCTTCTATTGCTGTGACAAAACACTCTGACTAATAATACCAACTTGGGAGGAAAGGGTTTATTAAGCTTACATCTCCTGGGTCACAGTTCATCAGGGAGCCCAAGATAGGAACTCAGGGCAGGAACCTGGAGCCAGGAGCTGAAGCACAGGAAATGGAGGAATACTGGCTTTCTTCCCTGACCTGAGCTCAACCTGCTTTCTTATACAATATAGGACCACTTTCCCAGGGGTGGCACCACTTACAGTGGGCAAGGCCCTCCCACATTGTTCAACAATCAAGAAAATTTCCATAGGCATTGCCACAGGCCAGTGCAATGGAGGCAATTCCCCAGTTGAGGGTCCCTCAACCCAGGTGTGTCAAGTTGACACTAAAGCTATCTAGCACAAAGATAATAACTTTTTTAAAAGTTACCATGATCTGGGCCTGGTGTCTCACACCTTTAATCCCAGCATTCAGAATAGGAAAGCAGATGGATCATGAATTCAAGGCCAGTCCTGAGCCACATAACAACAAAATTACCTATTAAGCCAAGCATGGGGGTGCTTTTCTGTCATTCCAGCACTTTGGAGGCTGAGGCAGAATTCCAAATTCAAAGCCAACCTGAGCTACATAGTGAGTTCCAGGTCACCATGAAATACATTGAGACCCTCTCTCAAAATCAAAACAAAAAATGACCTATTGGATATCTCCAAGCACCCAGCCTTGGGTAGAGCACTTTATATGTGTCATCCCTTTGGATGCCTTAAGCCCTGAAATGTCCAGTCTCCACCATATTTTACTGGTGGGAGAAACTTGGGCTCTTATAAAGGCAATGCAGTCAGAATGAGTGTGTGTGTGTGTGTGTGTGTGTGTGTGTGCATGTTCTCATGTGCAGAGATCAGAGGACAGCTTGCCTTGTTAGTTCTTTCTTTCAACTATGTGTGTTCCAGGGATCAAACTCAGGTCATCAGTCTTGGCAGCAAGCACTTTTACCCACTGAGCCATCTCAAAAGCCCTGTTTTTCAAGTTATTTTGCTTTTTTTTGTTTTTGTTTTTGTTTTGAGTCAGGGTCTCTTGTAGTCCCAGGCTGGCCTCTACCAAGAATGATCTTGAAATTTTGATCCTCCAGCCTCCACCTCCCCAGTACTGAGATTATAATTGTACACCACCATGCCTCAGCAAGGATTTTGACCTTGAAACCATTTCAACCTGCTACCCTTCTGTGAGGAACCCAGGGACAGGGAAAGATTATGCTAGTTTCTTCTGGAACAGCTTGGCTCAGAAGCTAAGGGAGAGAAACCTGAAACCAAATCAACAGGGGACCAGACAAAGGCCTAAGGCTCATACCACCTGAGTCCTTCCCTTAGGGACACAGGTGGCCAATACTCTGGCTGCTTGCCACTGCAGACACTACACCTATTCAGGTGACTCCCTGGTTGTCCTGGATCATCCTGGGGGATGAATATTCATGGTTATAATTTGTCTTCATGGACTGATGGCAAGACAGTAGCAGGCCCTGAGTATGTATCAGGTGAAGAAACTGAGTTTGGAGATGGCCAGGTTCTTGTCGGAGGTCACACAGCAATTTAGTGGTAGAGCTGGAAAATGAACTAAGGTCTCCAGCCACCCAATCTGGGCTCTTGGCTGCTGAGGGGACCTGAACTTACCCCTGAATCCCCAGTGTACCATAGGACTATGTGTCTACCTTGCTATCCTATAGGCAAATCATTTAGTGAGCACCTAGTGTTATACTGGGAAGTTTGTGAGATGTGTTACAAACCACATGTCAGGAATCAGTAGAACAACCCCAGGTTTAAAACAAGAGCCTCTGAGTTTACAGACAAGGGGCCTGGCATTCAGAGGAGGTCGTGCATTACATAACCTGATGCAAAGCCAAATCTAGGCCCCCTAGCTTCAAAACTGTGTTCCACTTGATTCTTAAGGCTAAGGGCAGGAGCCCTAGGCCGAGGGTGATTGAGTATTGTTTGGTTTTTACCAGTTGTGGGAACAGGGTCTCATTATGTGACCCGTTCTGGTCTGGAACTTGCTGTGTTGCCCAGGTTGGCTTCAAATTAGCAATCCTCCTGCCTCAGCTTCCAGAGTACTGACATTATAAGCATGGGACTCTACCCAAAAGCCCTAGGTGTGTGGGATGCTAGAGGGTCTCCTCTGACATTGTCTTCTGTCCCTGCCTTTGCCTGGACAGTTTGCCTTCAGGGATGATGTGCCTCTGGTGCGGCTGGAGGTAGCAGATGAATGGGCACGGCCAGAGCAGGCTGTGGTGAGGTACCGCATGGAAACAGTGTTTGCCCGAAGCTCCTGGGACTGGATCGGCTTGTACCGGGTGAGAAGGGCAAGAGTCCCAGGATCTCAAGGGAGGAGGGGGCCTAAAGGCCCCCTGGAGTGTCACTGGCTTGTCGGGGGTTTGATGCTATGCTGAGAGGCTGCTGGGATGTGACATTAGGGAGTCATAACCCTGGTTCCTCTTGCCCAGGTGGGTTTCCGCCACTGCAAGGACTATGTGGCGTATGTCTGGGCCAAGCATGAAGAAGTTGATGGAAGTGCCTACCAGGTACTTACAAGGAAGGGAGAGTGGGAAGAAGACCCCATTGCACTGGGACAGCAGGATTCAGATTGGGAGGGGTCCTGAGGCTGCCCTATGGCCCCAGCTTGGGCCTCTACCCCTATGCCTACCAGGTAACCTTCAGTGAGGAATCACTGCCCAAGGGCCATGGAGACTTCATCCTGGGCTACTATAGCCACCACCACAGCATCGTCATTGGTGTCACTGAGCCCTTCCAGGTAAACAGATCAGAGAGTAACCAAAGAGGGTCAGGAAGCACCTTTCAAATGTCATGAGCTCCACATTCTTCTCTCTGACCTCAGACCTGTAGCCCAACCTCCCAGGTCTGCCAACAGGGAGGGTTGGAATGATTCCAAGAGGTCTTGGCAGTCAGGCTACAGAATGGGGTGCCCCAATGATCAGTGTTCCCCTTAGATCTCACTGCCTACCTCGGAGTCGGCCAGCATCAGCACAGATAGCTCAGGTACCAGCTCAGAGGGTGAGGACGACAGCACTCTGGAGCTGCTTGCGCCCAAGTCCCGCAGCCCCAGTCCTGGCAAGTCCAAGAGACACCGTAGCCGAAGCCCAGGCCTGGCCCGCTTCCCCAGTCTTGCTCTCCGACCCTCATCTCGTGAACGCCGTGGTACCAGCCGTAGCCCCTCACCCCAGAGCCGCCAGCTGCCCCGGGTAGTCTCTGACAGGGGACACAGGAGTGGCAGCCGGGGTAGTAGTGAGGAGGGGCCCTCTGGGTTGCCTGGCTCCTGGGCCTTCCCACCAGCTGTGCCTCCAAGCCTGGGCCTGCTGCCAGCCTTGCGCCTGGAGACAGTAGACCCTGGTGGCGGTGACTCCTGGGGACCTGATCAGGGGGCCCCTGACCCTGACAGCCTGTCTCCCAGTCCCCAGGGTTGCCTTGGGCTAGAGGAGGGAGGGCTGGGGCCCTGAAGTGGGTAGACAGATGGGCCTGGTTGGCCTGGCTCTGCCTCCATCGTCCACAAACCTGCCTGCCTCTCTCCTGCTGCTGATCCAGCTGTATCCACACCTGCCACTCTGTCCTGACCAGGAGTGGCCAACTGGGGTCCCCTAAAGTCAGTCCTGGCACCACCCCAACTGTGACAATCAGCAAAGCCCGGCCTCAGCCCCATCTGGGATGGTGGGAGGAGCTCTAGTCAATGTCCCAATCTTGGAGGTCATTCATTAGGAATTAAATTCTCCAGCTTCGCTCCTGGCTCCTTCCTGACTTGTTAGCAGTCTGCAGATGGGGGTGATAGGGATTAAAGAAATGAGGGAACTGATAAATACTAGGTACCAGCTCTATATAGGAAGCATGCCATCTCCTTTAATCTATACCATAATCCTGTGTGCTCAGTGTCATTCCTAGAGCCATTTCACAGGTGCAAAATGAAGTCTCCAGGAGGTTCGGTGAGCATCTTAAGATCAGACACCAAACCTCAGTCTGGCTGTGTGTTAGAGGAAGAGAATGTTTATTAGGTGCATATGCATTATATATTAATTCACTTAATCCTCAGCATTACTATGAGGTAGTTATGTCTACAACTCCCCTTTTCAAGCTGGGGATACAACTTAGCTGGTAGTATGCTTGCCTAGAAGCTATAGATTGAGGGCTTGAAGCCCTGCATTCGATCTCCAGTACCACATAAAACTGGATGTGATGGCCCAGACCTGTAATCCCAGCACTAGGAGGTAGAGGAAGGAGGGTCAGAAGTTCAAGACCGTCCTATACATGGTGCATCCTGGGCTGCATGAGCTTCTGTCTCAATAACCTTCCCTTTTTAGAGGAGGGAGCTAAGGCTCAGAGTGGAAGAGGAAGGTCCCTTGCCCTACCTACCCAAGGGCATAAAGGAGATTTAAATTTAGATTTAGGGCAGAAAAGACTGGTCCAGGCCTGGGCTAAGAAGGCCACAGCAGCTATTAAAAGAAGGGGTCTAAGCCGAGCATGGTGGTGCATGCCTGTAGTCCCAGCACTTGGAGGCAGAGGCAGGCAGATCTCTGTGAGTTCAAGGCCAGCCTGGTCTACATAGTGAGTTCCAGGACAGCTGGGGCTACAGGGAGACCCTGTCTCAAAAAGACCAAAAAAAAAAAAAAAAAGGGTCTCTTGGGAGAAGAGGAGTTGGGAAGTCCTCTCTAGTGGCCCCTCCCTGAATTCAGATACAGGCATTTCTGTGACATCCCTAATTTTCCACCTGCTGCCCTAGGCCTCATGGCCAGGTGCTGGGGCTCCACAGTACCTGTCTTGAGATGTTAATTTTGCAACAGGGACATACAAGTACCTGCTTCTGGTACCTTCTTCTAGTACCTCCTGGGACTCCTGACTATAAGTCACTCCCCATTTCCATATGTATATGAAGTTCCCTGGCAAGGTCCAAGCCCAAGGTATCAGAATGAGCCTCCTGAACACCACATCCAGGCACAGAGGGGTTATGTAACCAGTTCAAGATCATCCAGGATGGCAGGAGATGTGGTCCAGCATTTGGGCCTTGAGGTTCTTCCCATCCAGCCTCTTGCTGTCCACAAGAGCCATGCCATTCCAAGAAGAGGAGGCCAAGTCTCCCAAAACTTAGCAAAGTCAGGCAGGTGGTCCATGCTAGGACTAGGAGGCCTATAACTAAAGTCATGAGCTCCAGAATTTCTTCTGCCCACTGGGCCTCCAGGTTGCCTGTGTTAGTCGCAGGCACTGGCTGTAGAATGACATGGGGGTCCCTAGGGGCTCCGAAGGCCATGCCTGCCCCCCATTTGTGCCTTTATCCCAGAGATGGAGTCGTCTTTGCTGAAGCTGCTGCAAGTGCCGAGCTGACACCTTGATGGCCCTGTGCTCTCTAGAACATCTGTGGGGAGAGAAAAGGTCAAGGTCAGCAGAATCTTACCCTATTCCAAAAATGGGACCAAGGGCCAAACAGGCGCAAGGGTGAGCAAGGGTCACCAGAAAGGCAGAGAGGGCAGGGCTGCATCCAGATGGGGCAGAATAAACCTGAAACAGTACCCAGGGGCTTAGGCTCAGCTATTAGATGATTGTAAAAACCTGAGCCAGTAACAGCCTCAGTTTCCTCATTGTGTGCTGGGTCAGTCTTGAGCTACGTATATCACATCCACTATTTCCTTGGTTCCTTTTTGTTTGGGGATTTGCTTGTAAGAAACAGGGTCTCACTACATATCCTAGGCTGACCTTGAACTTGCTCTCTCCCCCAGCTGGGCCTCAAAGTTGAGATCCTCCTGCTCCAGTTTCCCAAGTACTAGGAATACAGGCATATGCCACTGTACCTGACTTTCCTACATTCATTTTAGACTCAAGAAGTAGAGGATTGAAAAGGTGAATCAATTTGTCAAGGACACAAGAATTAAATCATGGAGCCCAAGTGCAACCCCCGCCCCCAGGCCAGCTGCAGAGTTGGACCCAGGGCAGCACGGGTTAGAGGGGTGATGACAAATGGAGCTCAGAGTGCCTATGACTCTTTCCCCAATCCCTTGGCCCAAGCACACAATTAGTGTATATGTGGACAACCCAGTCCTTGGCAAAAGGCCCCCATCCCTCCTGGCTCTACCATCACTCACTCTTTGCCCTCAGCACAGTCCAGTGGTGGAGCCAGCTTGAAACAGGTGGTGCTCACGAGCTCCCAAAGCCTTTTGGCACCCAAAGGTGGGCTGTGGAGCTTCAGGAAACGTGCTAGACTGAGGGGAGAGGCAGACTTAGGCTGGGCCAGAACCTTGCCAGGTGCTCCTTCCCAGTGCCTGGCAGTAGGCAGCCTACCCCCAAGGGGCCCCGGAGGCCTCACCGGTGGGTGCAGTTACAGTGGAAAAGGGACTCCTGGGCACTGTTGAACAGGTGGAACTTGGTTTCCTGGGGCTTGATCTGGTATTCACATTGGTCCAGGTGGCGGAAGCTTCGGCAAACTTGATGAGCACCTGGGGGTAGGTGTGGTAGTTAGAAGAGTCCAATCTGTTAGGGAGGCCTCACCAGTGCCAACAACCACCAGCCAGGCAACACCAGCTCATGGACTCAGTAACTCAGTCCTCCTTTTTCTCCTACCCTGTAACCTCAGAATGTCACTCATGTGGAATGAACCCCCCCACACACACACACAGTCACTGTGTGAGAACCCAGAGTACTGAGGGTGGTCAGAAAAGACTGCCTGGAGATAAAGGACTGTTAGGCTGACTGGGACAGAAAAGACAGGAGTCCAGGCAGGAAAAACAGCATGTTCAAAAGAACAGAGGTGAGACAGATTGTAAGGGTTTTGATTAGTTTTGGTTCTTGCAGGGTTGGGCATTGAACCTAGAGCCTAGTATTGTAGGCAAATGCTCTACCACTGAATACATCTACACTTGCAGTCTGCATTTGAGTACCAAATAAAGTTTATAAAACTTCAGTTTCTGCCGGGAGTGGTGGCGCACTTGGGAGGCAGAGGCAGGCGGATCTCTATGAGTTCAAGGCCAGCCTGGTCTACATAGTAAGTTCCAGGACAGCTGGGGCTACAGGGAGACCCTGCTTCAAAAAGACAGAAAAAAAAAAAAAATACAACAACAAAAAACACTTCAGTTTCAGCCAGGTGTGGTGGCAAAAAAACAAAAAAACAAAAAAAAAAACTTCAGTTTCAGCTAAAGAGTAGAGTCCATAGGCCTAAGGGTACTGAGTGTTGAAATTTCATTGACTAATATATGTAGGAGTGGGAGGGGAATAAAACTCCCTTGCTACAGTAGGATTTGATGAGGAAAGTTGGGGTACCCTGGAAGGTGTTTAGAACAAGAAAAGAGATAATACTCCATTTGCATACAGAGGCAACAATACCCATTCACATCAAGAACACCCCAACCAGCCCCTGCAAAGCTTGACTCTAAGCTCACCTTGAAGTTTTAGGCTATCCTGGTAGCCTGAATGAGGGACCCCTGGCTGGGCTCTGGGGACCACATCAGGCTTAAAGGAGGCTGTAGGGGCTTGGAAGGGTGTAGCATTGGTTGTGCTGTGGGGCCTGGCTTGTGTTTGCTGAGGGCGCCTCTTCTGAGGGTGTTTGCTGGGGGCTGGGCTCTGGGGGCTGGGAGTAAGGGAGGTGGCTCCAGAGTTCCAAGAGGCATTATAGTAGGTCCTGGGCTGGAGGTGCGCGAGGGGCACTGAGCCATATGTCCTGCACCTGGAAGGTGGCAATTAGAGGCAATTGGCTGATAACTCAAAATCCCTGTTCCCCAAGCCCCCAGGGTCATCTCCTCAGAGACTAAGTCTCTACGTGTTCCATCCCTCATCCCTCTGACTTGTGGAATGTATCCAAGAAGAGTCCCAACCCTGGGCTGTGACCTAAGGAAAGGACAAGCTTGACAAGGCATGCTTCCCTGGAGGACAAACAGACCTCTCTCCCTCACTGGGATTAAAGGCCAGGTTGCCCTTCTGGCTAGGAAAAGATTCAAAGAGGAGCAGCTACATACCCACCCCACCAGTACCACGACACACAGGCCTCCTGCTCCTTCAGCACAAAGCAGGGGATCTCCAGCACATTGAAGAAGGCCACGCCCACGATGTCAGAGATAGAGTCATGCTGGCTCCTCAGGCACTGCTGGAACCTGCTCCAGAGCCAGAACTCAGGTCCTAGGACCCCAGAAAGCACCTTCTGCTGTCCACCTTGCCACTGTCTGACAGAAAGTTCTCTCTCTGGGGTCTCAGTTTTGCCCACATGCACTAGGTGTGTGTGGGTGAGGTAGGGGCTTCATCAGACATGGGTAAGAACTCTCAACTTCTGATCTTTGGGATTCTCTGGAATCCTAGTACTCTACCCCCAAGAACCAAGTAACTATGCTCTGGCCTTGAGGCCCAGGCCCTTCATGCCTGCCACAAACCTGGTATCACAGTCACAGTGGGAGATGGTATGGAATCGGAAGTTTCGGATGCCATAGTTATGTTGCAAGGGTGAGATGGTCTGGGGACAGCGGTCATGTTCTCGGCAGCAGAGGTCAGGCCCATGGAATATACCTGTGTGGAGGGAAGGAGGGAGCCAGCTCAGCAGGGTCCTGAACACTGTGCACCAGCTATGCCCATCCAGCATATCAAAAGTGTACGGTGTTCATTCTAGTCCCAACCCAGGTGTAAAAAGTACTGGTGGCCTGAGGACAGTTGTTCTCCCTCTATGGGACCCTCACAGTTCCAAAGCCTTCAGAAAAGACCACTCAGGCTTGCAGCCTCTTTTAGCCAACTCCTAGTGCCAGGAAGCCCACCCATGAGCACGTGGAAATGTCTTCCCTGGAACTGGATCCAATCCACGGAGTTCTCAAGCTCACACCCCAAATAAAACTCCCAAGTTATGAAAGTGTGCATAATGGAATGACAAGCAGGTGGAGCAAAACCTTTCCACTAGCCTATCATGGCGTGGGGTGGCCAGCCTGTCCTACTCAGGTGCTAGGTCCTCCCCAGCACTCCTCACAGACACTACAATCAATCACATCCCAAGCAAGAGTGCCTATTACTGGGCATTTCCCGTACCCAACATCACAGCAGCCCTGCAAGTGAAGTGTCACCTTATCTTACAGGTGAGAAACTTGGGGTTCAGTAAGGAGAAGTATCAGCTTGAATATGCTGAGCTGGGATCTGAACTCAGGCCTTTGGCTCCATTTCTACTGAAGTCGCCTCATGGGTAGAGTCTTTTGGCATCAGCAGAACTAGGATCCTCCCCAACCTGCCTCCTCCCTCAGATGATTAGTAAGGACTCAGGGTTTGAATAAGGCCTTTCCTAACCATGACATCACTTAAGTATCCCATGAAGATGGATTCATGGTCATCCCATTTTACAGATAAGAAAATTGAGGTTTAAAGTGCCTAAGTCACTTCCCTAAAGACACAGCCTGGGAGAATGAGGGCCAGGCTGAAGCTGGAGCCCCCATCCCACCCCATCAGACACCCATCCACACCCCACTGGCTCACCCAGTTCCGAGGCATTCTCAGCAGAGTTCCCAACTCCACACCACAGCGTGCCAGGTATGGTCCAGCCTCTCTTTACTCGTGAGTGCCCTCTGCCAGATGCTCCACTCTTCCCCACTGCCCGCTTCTCCCTGGCTCTTACAGGACTATTCTTGGGCCCTTGGCAGGCCTCCCACTGGCTCTGCAGGGCAGTCAGTGCTCGCTGAAGCTCAGGTCCAGGGGTGTGAATAAAAGAGCCCCGTGTGGGCTCCTGAGCACAGAGAGCACTAAAAGTTGCGGTGAGCTCAGGCTCACCCTGCCGGGTACATACCTGCAGCCTACCTCGTGCATCCCAGCGGGCCTGGAACAGAGCCAGGCCCTGGGCATCCTTGCCCAGGAAGCTCAGGGATCCCAGAGGGCTGCCAGGGATGGACCTGACCAAGTGGCAGGAGGTGCTGTCCCAGCGGAGGGTAAGGGAACCCCCTGGAACAACTCCTAGGAAACCCAGTACCTCCAACATTGCCAGTACCCCCATTCTGCCCTGACTCAGCCTGGTCAGACAAAGCCCTCTGGATGCCTGCCTCTGGCCACCCTGGAGGCAGCAGCTGAGAGGCTGCAGCGGAAGCGATGCTGAGCAGACCCTGAGTGGCCGGGCCAATGAATGGAGCTGTGGGAGGAGGAGAAAGGCTGCAGTATGGGGTGATCTTGGGCTTGTAACCGAATCCACCGGCTGGGCAGGCTGCTGATTGGCTGAGAAGTACATTGCTGGGCCCACGCCTCCATTCACCCTGCCCTCAGCGCTGTCCAGTCACCTGCCCCAGGCCAGCCTAGAAGGATGGCTCTGTAGGAGCCAAAGCTTTGGGCTGTGCGAAGGGGAGAGAAGTCGGGGGTCTGTGTCTCCTTTGAGGGCAG